AGGCAAAGACATGAGATCCCCCACTCCAGGTCAGTCCAGGACAAAGCAAGGGACCTCAGTGCCCAGGGCCTCTGCCCAACTGGAGCCTGGGGCCAGACAAGACTTTGAGTGCTCTAACTGGCTCAAAGAGGCTTGGTTTTCTTTGTAAAGCCAGCTGAAAACCATTAGGCTTGCAAAGATATTTTGTTTTTTGGGGTTTTGGGTGTTTTTTGTTTTTTTGTTTTTTGTACCGGGGCCTTTGTGCTTGTGAGGCAGGCGGTGGAACCACTGAGCTAAATCCCCGGCCCTTGGTATTTAAATATGCCAGGCACTTAGTAGGTCCTTGGCTGAAAAGTTCACTTTCACCTTTGCATCTGACCAAGCCTCCCTGCCACTGAACTGCTGAGGAAACGAGTCCAGATGAGATGGAAAAAGGAGCGACCACCACAGCCAACCAGGGGCCAGATCTACTCCTCCAGGGTCTCTGATTCTGCCAAAGGTCTGGCAAGATCTTCAGGACAGACAGATCTGCTTCATACGCAGGGACACTGCAGTCCCAGAGGCAAAGCAAGCTCGCATCTCTGAGGCAGGGCTCTGGACCCTTCTGCTGTCCAGTGCAGTGCTGGACAGTTCTCCAGAGGCCCCAGGATGCCAGAATGGCCTCCCTCAGCACTGGCAAAGGTGAACGTGAGGGCTGGTGGTGAAGACTCCCCTAGACCATGGCACGTGTGTGGTGGGGTCAGCTCAGACAGCCTGGGACCCTGAACCCACAAGTTAGTGTGCAAAGCTGGGCAGAGGGATGAGTTCATTCACTGGCTGCACATCTGGGTTCCAGAGGTCTCCCTGGCCAAGACAAAGGCTGGAGAAGCTCCCATGAGCCCAGGCACCTCCTCTCATGTCTCCCTGCACATCTGCCCCAGGGGCTAGTCCTCTTTCCAGTGCTGTTGTGAAGAGTCCAGAGGGCAACCAAGCTCCTCATTGTGCTGTCCACACAGAGAAGAGGAGGGAGGATGATGTGTTTACTGGGTCACTGAGCTCAGCCTGCAGGGACTGCACACCCTGCACCAAGCTCGGGAACCACAGGGCCCCCAAGGAGCTCACAGACAGCAGAGCCCAGAGCCCTCCAAACCTAACTCAGTCTACAAAGCCCAGAGCCTCAGCTGCAGCCTCCTGAAGCTGTCCTGCCCCAGCTCACTCCTCTCCAAGCCACATGGGCTCCATTCAGCAGCAGTGCCTTGGAGAGGCACACAGCCTGGCCCTGGTGGGAATACTCCTCCGCCAGAGCTCCCACAGCTCTCTTCTCCACCACTAGATCGCTGCTCCACACAGCCTGAGGTTAAGCTCCACAGTGCTGCGTATTAGCTGTGACCTTGAGAAAGTCACCTGTCTGCCTCAGTCTCTTCTTAATACAGGCACAATGACACTATCCGCCTCGCAGAGTTGTTATAAGGAATAAATGAGTTGGCACACGGTGGGGACCTACATGGCACTATTCACAGCACTTATTGCAGACTCTTGTTATTTGCCTTCCCCACCATCTCTCCCTACTAACCGTCAGCTCTGCTCGGTCACAGGCCATAGCACACTCAGTGCCTGTCACCTGCATCTGTGGAAGGAACGAGTAGAAAAAGGTACAACCTCATCAGGAGATGTCGTAGTTTCTGGGGCCAGACAGGAGGAAACTCAGGGGGGAAGCGAAGGCTGAGCTAGGTTTTGAAGGAGGAAGAGTCCTCCGGACAGGCTGCCAGCAGCTCCTGAACAGACTGATGGGAAATGTTTGCGTCTCACTCAACCCAGCAACCCCTGTGGTCACATCTCCATTCTGTGTGGTCTTTGAGGCCTACTGTCTGATAGATGGGCACATGGCTCTCTCATCGCTTTACATCTGTAGGTCTCTTCCTCACCATGCAGCCAGAACCTGGAGCAGACAACCCCTGCCCTTCTCTGTCAGGCCGCTCAAGGTGTCACACGAACCCTTCACAAACTTTCAGAGCCTCCTGTGTCAAAGTGGGGCACTCCGGAATCACCCAGCACCCAGAGGAGTGAGCAGTGGGGTTAATGTAAGACTCTGAGCCAAACGCTGGACCTTCAACCTCCCCCTGCACTGGATGGGACCCCCAGTGGGGCTGGGGATGTTGTCAGTCTGTGTTCAGGTTCAAGGTGAGGTGGTGGGATCACAATGGAGGTCTGGAGCAGCACAGCATCTGTGAGTGTGAGCACAAGTGCCCACAGCCGTGTCTGACCTCTCACCGCCCGGGGACCAGCACTCCCTGGGCGCACGGCATCTCAGAAGGACTGGGACAAACAATCCTCCCGTCATCATTTCTGCACTGGAAAAAAAACCCTGACCCCACAGAGAACTGAGCGGGGCCTGGCTAGACCTGAAGGTGGGCAGAGGGTCCCAGACCTCCAGAGCCTGGCAGTCTCTCCAGTAGGGCATCACGGGCCCCCACCAGCCCACTTGCATGGGGAAAGGAGATGAGCACTCCACCAAGAGAGGCAAGAACTGAGGCTGAACAGAGTCCTGCCAGCAGCCCCAAGTGAGCACCAGCACCCCTGCTGCCTCCTGGCTGGGTGGCAAATCACGGCCCCACGCACTCACTCTTAAGAGCCAGTGCTTGTTTGCTGGGAACCCAGCAGTGAGCAGGAGCCCGAACTGCCTGACTCCAGCACTCACTGCCTACGCTTCCTAGGATGCCGAAAAGAGCCCCCACACTGCACAAAGTGGGGCTTGAGAATCATCTGAGATCCCTTTTGTTCCCCCTTTGACCTGCCTTCTTTAGTCCCCAGTGAAGATAGTTCAGTGGGACTTTATTTGTTGGTTTGTTTGCTTTTGATTTATTTGCTAGTTTGCTTTTTATTAAAAGATGCTTCACCTTGCAAGCTCAAGGACCTGAGTTCAATCCCCGGTACCAAAAAAAAAATAGAAAAAGATGCTTCGGATCCAAGCCAAAAAATATCTCCAAACTCTCTCTTATATCAGAGTAAAGGGAAGTCAAGAGGAAGCTAGGGAAGAGCCAGGGATTTAGCTCAGTGGTTCCACCGCCTGCCATGCAGGCGCAAGGTCCCGAGTTTGATCCCCAGTACTAAAAAAAAAAAGAAGAAGAAGAAGCCAGGGAAATCCACGACTTGTCAACAAGGCAATAGTTCAGAGGTGGCAGGTGAGGGCAGAGTGTTGTTAGCCAACACGAGGTCCGTGTCCTTGTGTGCCCAGTTTCTCATCAGATGCCCACCTCCACTGCAGACTCACTCTGGACACAGGCACAGTGCAGAGTCGGGGCGTGATTGTTGGATGCCCCTCTCAGCCATCATCTAGTAGAGCCTCTGGTCCCTTAAGAGCCCAGACTCTGGAGCCAGGACCAGAGTTCAAATTCCAGATCTGCACTTACCAGCGAGATCTTGGGACATCACTGAACCTCACTGAGCTTCAGAGTCCTTATACAGGACATATGTGTCCCACCTCCTAGAGAACTGAGTAAGTTTGGCTTTGCTAACACTGCTGTCTCTGGAAAACGGGGCTAAAGACACATCTCATACCCACTGGGAAAGAAGTTCTTTAAATAACAGAACTTGGGAGAAGACCCGGCCGCCCTTCATCTAGAACACACTCTACCCTGGGCACAGAGGATGGGAGCAAGAGGCCCTGCTGCTCAGATCCCACCCTCGGCCAAGTTGAGAAGCCGCCTGCACCCATACATTCCCTAAGCTTTCCCAGGACTCTGCCCAGACCCAGCCCAGTGCCAGGTACACCAGAAGCAGCCTCAAGGAGCCTGCTGGCTGGAGGGAGCACAGGTGTGCAGGGGAAGCATGGGTTCCACTCAGAGAGCTGGGCTTTCCAGCAGGGGCGGCCCCTGAGCTGAATCTGGGGGGTCTGGGGAACATGCCAGGGAGATGAATTAGAGGAGGAGAGGGAGGCTGGGGTAACTCTGGCAGAGGGCATGGCAGGTAAAACCATGGGAAGGAGAGGAAACAGCCAAGCGCAAGGCTGTAGAAAGCAGTTCCGTGCATCCCCGGCAGAAAACACAGAGGGGTGAGGACGATGGGTGTGGAGGGAGGCAGGCAGGGGTGGAAGTCGGATTGCCAAGGTCCTTTAGTGTCACAGAAGGCATGTGAAAGTCACACTGAAGTTGGGGACAAGGCACACTGGCCTGCTGAAGGGGGCATGGCATGGATCAGGGGGCCTAGTGAGGATGGGAGTTGAGGGGTGGCTGTGGAGATGGGGGGGTTCATACAGCCTCTCTTTATTTTCCCCAGCCCCCCCTTTTTTTCTGGTACTGGGAATCGAACTCAGGACCTCGTGCTTGCCAGGCAGGGACGGTGCCCAGTACCTTTTGAAAAGGCTGTTGCTGCCAGCATCCTCAGCAGACAGCCGCTCTGCGGCCGCACAAGCCCTCTGGCCTGTCCGGAGCCTTTTCCAAGTACCAGGTCAAAGGCCCTAGCAGGTGCCACCGAGCCCTTGGATCTGTGTCTGTCCTTGGAACTCAATCTCAGCTCCAAAGTCCCCGTGAGAAGGTTCCAGGGAAAAGTGCTCTCTAAGGTCACTTCCCAGGATGCTTTTCCACATGGCCGGTCCCTCACGTGGTCCTGTGCCTGCTCTCTGACTTCACCCTGAAACTCTGTCCGTCACGCGTGCACACACACTTCATTCTGCTCTTCCACCAGCTCTGCAGCCTTGGAGCTACAGCGTTAAACACCTCACAGCCCTGAGCTCATCAGAAGGCAACAAAGAGAGACACGCACAGACCTGAACCACACAGAAACTCACCACCCCAGCCGGACGCCCAGAACACTGCCAGCCCAGAGCGTCTACTGGCTCCTTGGCACTTGTTTGGGGGACACTGTCTATGAATAAGCAGCCTAGAGATTCCACAAGTTCTCCTTTCAAAGAGAACTCGAAAATGGCCTGTGAAGAGTGAGACAGAGGATGCAGAACTTCTGCCTTAAAGGGGACGCGTCAGCGCCTTCCTGGGCCCCCAGCCTCTCCTGCCCTCCCTGTGCCTCCCACAGCCCACTGTCCATACCCTCCGCAGGTGGCTCCCCACATTCTGGATCATCGCAGTGTCCCAGCAGGCTCCGGAGACAAAGGCTGGTCACCTGAGCCACAGCCTGCAGGCACTCTGGCTCCAAACGCAGCCGGCTGCCTCTCGGTGCAGGGTTCCGGCTCCTCCTCCTCCTGCCGCAGCTGCTCCCGCCCTCCCTAGCCAGCTGTTATCGCCGGCCTCTGCCAGGCCCCTCGGCTGACAGCCCTCTGACCCCCTTCTCCTGATCCCACGCAACCTTCACGGAAGTCTCAGGGGCAGCCAGTTGTTTCACAGCCACGGCAGGGGCACAGTGCCCATGCATGTCCTGGGAACCCGGCCTGACTCACTTTTTCTCACCCTACTTCCAGCCACCCCCCTCTCCCCACCATGTTTGGCTCTGGGATGGCCCCTAGAGGCCTGGAGTCCATCCGACCACAAGGGGTCAGGCGAGAACACGGCAGAGGCCAGGGAGCTGCCAGCAGCCTCCCGGACAGACACCAGACCCACCTGCCAGAACTCTGCACCCTTCGAAGTGCCGCCCACCGCCCACCGCCCACTGTTGCACCATAGCACTCTGCTGGCATCCAGCAGCTGCTGGCCGCAGACACAGCACACTCCCACTTCCTTAAAATAGGCACGGTGTTTCTTCTAAAGTGGCACCTGCTACATTCCACCCTGATGGCCATGCAGGATTCAGCCTCCTGGAGCACCACCGGCTGAGGGACCACCAGGATTTCTCTTGTCCCTCTCGCTTCTGCAAGAGGCTTGAAGAGGAGGCCCTGACACTCACACTGGACTAACAGCGTAGTGAAGTGTATGGCGGGAAAGGGAAGGGGTGGGGAAAGGTCCGAGCAAAGGAGATGGGTAGGGAGTAGCAGCAAGCACCCTGTAAAAACTGCATCACTGCTGTGAACCAGGCCTTGTCCCAGGCCCCAGGGGAGGCTCCTGGGCAGAGGAGGCGATGTTTCCTCACCCCAGAGAGCACAGGGGACAGAGAAGCAGATCTGCTTGGTTCCGAGGCCTCTCCCTCCCCTCTGTCCCCTGCTGCTCCAGTTCAGTCACTATAGATTTAACACTGTTCCCTCCGGGCATGTCCTGCCTGCAGGGCCTGGGTTCTGAAGCCAGTTCTTTCACCACTGTGCCGTATGCCTCTGGGCAGGCAGGTCCCTTCCTCTCTGGGATTCCATGCTGTAGGAGTCTAGGACAGCAAAAAGAGCTCATGCCTTGCCTGCACAGAGCTGGTCATCTGTCAGCAGTCCTGTGTCCACAAAGGCAACATTAAAATCAGCCCTTAAAGATACCGGGATAGCCCTGAGGATGGGGGTGACCCAGGTGGCTAAGGAGGTTTGCAGAAGCTGAGGAAAGGGGTGAGGTACAAAGCCTGACAGGAACTGAATAGGGCTAGGGCATCAAGGAGCCTCTAAAAATGATAAACTTGCTCAACATGATGAAGGCCTCGTGAGGCCCAGGACAGGTGGCATGAGTCCTCCCAGATTGGCAAGAAAACCAACCCAGTGGAGGGACAACTCCTGTCCCCCATCACCAGGTCCCCTTCACGGACAGCAGCTGGGGCAACTTCAGGCCCTCTGGATGCAGAGGAAGCAATAGAAGCCCAGAAAGCTCCGGCCCCAGCCTGTGCTCCTGCACAGTGCCACATGTCCCAGGCTGGGATCACATCTGACTCATCTCTGTGCCCAAGAAATGAAGGCCTTCAGTACAAGAGACATAAAACACACATAGATGAATCATAATTCTAGAAGGGCCCAAACTTCAGCCACCTGGACAGCTTCTTAAAGCATAGGCTGCTGAGCCCCATCCCCAGAGTTTCTGATTCAGCAGAGGTGAAGTACAGCCCAAGATCCCTAGCGATGAAGGAACTGCTGGTCTTAGCCTGTGAGCTAGGTCAATGCCCCAGTCACAGTTAGGAAGCAGGAAGCCCAGAGATTTTAAGGGTGGAGCTTGACAATGTATCACTAGCATCAGCAGAAGGAACCCTGGCATTACCACCATGGTCACTGTCATCATAACCCTGTCATTTATCCCTCTTCACACGCCCAGCACTGTGAAAGTACTTCATATACATTTCTGCCTCTAGGTCTCACTGAAAAAAATGCTATGATTATTATTTTCCTGCAAAGCAAAAATCAATATTATGACACATGTGAGCAGTGCACAAGCAAGTGAAGCTTCATCTATATTTACAGCCACTCCTCATCACTCACTTTACCACCTGAATCCCATCTTTTGTCAGACCAGTGCATCACTAGACCCTCATAAGAGTCCAAACCCCACTGTGAACTGCACATTCAAGGGATCTAGGCTGTGTGATCCTTATGAGAAAATACTGCTGATGATTTGAGATGGAGCTGAGGCAGTGATGCTAGTCCTAGAAAACAGCTGCAAATACAGATTAACATTGCAGAGAGACCTGACTGCACAGAGACCATAAGAAATCAGTCGCTTGCAGACTCATATCAAAACCCTACCACCACCCTGCAAAAAGCCAGGCCTGGTGGCACACTCCTGTAATCCTAGCACTCGGGAGGCTGAGGCAGGAGGATCACTGTGAGTTCGAGACCAGCCTGGGCTACATAGTGAGTTCCAGGTCAATCTCAACTACATAGTGAGACCCTGTC